ATAGTCAGTTGATTATAGCTCTACACAGGATGACCCCAGTTGAGTGGATAACCTACCAGATTCTTTGTTAAGAAGATCCAGGATCTAATTCAGTTAATAAATACACATATATATATATATTTGTTACTCATTAATAATTACACGTAGTTGATCGTATAAGCTATTAAACGTGATAACTATTTGTTCAGCCAGTTTCTCTCAACACCTTGTGACATCAGACAGGTGGACAATTCGATTTTAGACATATTAAAACAGTGTTCACCTTGTGACATCAGACAGGTGGACAACTTTATTTTATACGTATTAAAACAGTGTTCACCTTGTGACATCAGACAAATGGACAACTTTATTTTTTCCGTCCAAATACAGTGTTTACGCAAAGTTTAAATTTGGATATTTAAAATGCAGAGTTTTAGTATTTATAATAATAAATGCTCTACTAAAATATCGTTTTATTTGAATCATAATACTGGGAGGTAAAGATAAAACTTTTTTATTGCAGTTTCTTAAAAAATATAATCAAACAAATCGATCACATATAATCATTATTTTTGAACGTTGTATATTATTAAAGTAAGACCAATCACATATAATCATTATTTTTGAACGTTGTATATTATTAAAGTAAGACCAATCACATATAATCATTATTTTTGAACGTTGTATATTATTAAAGTAAGACCAATCACTTTTGTTATCATTATAGATTAAAGATATTTGTTGAACAATAATTTTCGTTAAAAAAATCTAATTGGTTATAATTAGTTTTTGAAAAATTACGTATGAAAACAACCTATTTCGATTGGCTAGTACATTTCAACACATATAAAGCAAATAGGTTTATGTACGAGGTTTAATAATTTACCTAATTTAAATTTATTGAACTCAGACATGTGGTGCTTCTTTTTAGATCTAGATAATTGCATTTAGCTAAAGAAGAAGACCAATAAAACGCACATGTTATTCCTTATGACCTTTAGATTAAAATATGATTGAAGATTGTTGTCACCTTTCTGTTTGAGATATAAATCACTAAACCAAAGTACTCACGAACTACTGTTATAAGAACAAATTATTGATATTTTAGTAAGGTTAAAAGACGTTTGTTATTTTTCATTCTTGCCAAATATAATTATTCTTTCTTTAATATAAAACGCGGAAATTGGGTTCAAATACGCGCTTCATGACAAGCCGAATGCACGTTATTGAACTGAATAAAGCAAAATGATTTACTAAACGAAGTTTACAAAATTTAGGGTATTGGAAAGTGCTTTAATATAATCAGTAAGAGATAAAGAACAACAAAATTTTTTGTTTATTTTTTGTGTTTCTTTTATTTTGTCTCTCAATACACATTGTATTCATTTATTTATTCACCATTGTTTGTTATGAATTTCGTGCAAAGCTACACGAGGGCTATCTGCGCTAGCCGTTCTAATTTAGCAGTGTAAGACTAGAGGGAAGGAAGCTAGTCATCACTACCAACGGCCAACTCTTGGGCTACTCTTTTACCAACGAACAGTGGGATTGACCGTTACATTATAATGCCCCCAAGGTTGAAAGGGCGAGCATGTTCGGTGTGACAGGGAGTCGAACTCGCGACTTGCAGATTACGATTCGAGCGCCCTAACCACTTGCCTACAACGGGTATCGAAACCCGGTTACTAGCGTTGTAAGTCCGCAGACATACTGCTGTGCCACTGGGGGGGGGGGCTACTTATTCATGCTTTTGTGTTTAAGAATAAAATGAATAAAATAGCATTTATCATTTTAATTCCTTTGAGATTTTCTCTTTTACAAGATCAATTCATGTTATTTGAATATAATTTAATGGTAGTTAAAATTTACTGCATTGACACCGGAATTACATTTTATTTAAACTAGTTTGAAACACTCGCGCTCAGCTAAGTGGTTCAAAGCCCCTTTATGATTCACAGAGACTCCAATGAACCGATCAGACACTTATATTATACCCAATTTTTTCATTAGCCTT